CTCCGTGCTTTCTCCATGAGAGATCGATTCAACCTCTCTGCCACCCCATTCTGTTGAGGTGAGTAAGGCGTAGTCTTCTGCCTTATAATTCCATTGCTAGCACAAAACTGGTCAAATTTTGTTGAACAGAACTCCCCTCCATTGTCAGTTCTCAGCACCTTGATCTTTCGATCAAACTGATTTTCCACCAAAGCCTTAAACTCGCGGAACTTATCGAACACTTCATCCTTACTGCGCAGAAAATATAACCACACATGTCTTGAAAAATCATCAGTAAAAGAAACATAATACCTTGATTTTCCATGTGATGCTACAGGAGTGGGGCCAAACATGTCGCTGTGTATCAGGTCCAGAATCCCCTCAGCTCTTCCTCCTATGGAATCAAAAGATACCCGATTTTGCTTCCCTTGCAGGCAATGCTCGCAATATCCAAACCCCATAGAGTAGCTCAGAATTCCATACACCAGCTTCTTTGATGTCAGAGTCTCCAGACCTTTTCCTCCAATATGCCCCAGCCTCCTATGCCACAACATAACAGTGTCTTCCTCCGCCTGTTCTGAAACATAGCTTTCACCACTGAATACTGTGCTACCCAACAATTTCCACAATTCACCATGACGCTCTCCTCTTGTAATAACCAAAGCTCCTCGAGTCAGGTTGCAAGAATACTTGTCTCTACTAAATTTAATACCAGCATCTGCCATACTACCAACGAAGATCAAATTTTTGGTAAGCCCCAGAATATGCATCACAGCCGAAAGATTCTTGACTGTCCCATCACTCATCTTCAGCTTTACCTTCCCACACCCCACAATAGCATGAGTCGTGTCATCTCCCATTCTAACTGTACTTCCAGAATATGATTCATAGGTGCAGAACCACTCCCTATGAGATGTCATATGAAACGATGCTCCAGTGTCAATAATCCAGTCATTACAGTCACTATACTATGACTGTCAAACGCCATGTACAGGTCCCGTGTACTATCATCATCATCCTTCTTTGTACCCGAAGCAGAAGGTTGTGAATCATCCCGCTTCTCAGGACCTACACTTTTACTTCTGCAATTCCTTCTCAGATGTCCAACTTGTTTGCACCTCCAGCACCTCATTTTAGATTTATCAGATTTATCACGAGACTTTGACCGTCCCCTCGATCTTCCTCTGTGACCAGACTTTGATCTGTCACCACTCTTCCCTCTAGCAACTAGAGCATCATTGCTGGTACCATCAGAACCTACCCTTCTCATCTCCTCAGACAATAAGGCAGCAACAACCTTCTCGAACGTCAGTTTATTAACACTAGTACCAATTGACACAATGATGTGCTCCCAAGAGTTGGGCAGTGAACACAACAAGGTGCAAGATTTGTCTTCCTCATCCAGGTTGATGTCTATAGACGAAAGTTGTGCACAAATAGTATTAAATTCATTTAAATGAGCAGAGAAAGAATCACCTTCGCTCATCCGCAGATTGTACAGCCTCCTTCGCAGGAACAACTTGTTCACGAGTGACTTGCTCTGATAGAGACCTCCCAGCTTCGTCCAGAGATCCTTCGCGGTCTTCTTAGAAGTTACGTTCACCATAATGTTATCTGCCAGGCATAACTAGATCAGGCTTCGCGCCTTTCGATCATCTCTGGTCCACGCCTTCAACTCCTTTGACTCGCCTTCACTTGACGTTTCATCACCGACAGGTTTCGTTGGTACCGATGGCTTATCATCTTCGATCACGTGCCACACGTCCCTGTCAACGAGAAGAGCCTCCATCTTCAGCTTCCATAACTCGAACCCTTTTCCTCCGAACTTTTCAACCTCGACCCGTGATTGGCCAGTCGACATCCTCTCCAGATCAATTTCGCAGTTTTCTCTATGCACAGAAAAAACCCAAATCGTGAAACCCTAATCTGTCACAGGAACCCCTGGTCGCAGAACCAAAGCTTTTGATACCAAATGTTGGAAATCGACAATACATAAATCGAAAACTGAAAAGAAAAAGAGAGAGAGAGAGTAGACATAGCTATTTATCCTGGTTCACCCAATTTCGGCTACGTCCAGCTTGTCTGTACTATATTCACCTCACCGCCACTCGTTACAAGTCTCTCGGTTTACAAGGCAAATATAAATAGGATTACAAAACCGTAACAACAGCTATTCATGGACCCAAGCCCAAACTGCTAACAAAATTACAATAAAACAGAGGCCCACAACAGTATGTAGCCTCTACGGGCTTGGGGGCGCTGCCCCCCGGACCCCCACCTGGGAGCGGAACCCAGTTGCCTTTCTGCTGACCCCGATAATTAGGGCCATCATCAGCATGCGAAGTATGAGCCATACCCAACAACTGCTAGGTTAGTCTGGAGAGGACAAATCTCACGTCTATAGAGGCACGATTGATTTACATGGATGACCAGCATTTGTGGAGATTGTGGTTGAATACAACGACGATTTGTAGGGGAGAGATTTTTAGCTCAAGGTGTTTTTACCAGGTAGAATTTGATGATGTAGGTCGGGTCAACAATGGCATGTGGTGGGCGGCGATATGGCAACAATTTTGAATTATGGTTGGGAGGATCATGGATTGAGCAGAGTGAGAAGTGATGAGGTTTTATTAGGGAATATTGGTATTGTTGATTATTGTTTTTGTTTTGTTTTTATAAGAAAATATAGGTAAAGTATGAGTAAATCTTGAAAACAATTGTCTGTATGTGAGGCTACTAGAATGATGACTCGATGGCTAGTGAGATGTTGCGCTTGGGATTAGGGGTGTGCATGGAGCGGTTCATAATCGGTTTTGACAAAATCCGAACCAAACCGAACCAGATTTCTTTTTTAAAACCGATTTTTAATTTTTCAAACCGGTTTTAAATTGGTTTTAATTCAAAACCGGTTTTAAATCAATAGTGGTTATGAACCATAAATCGGTTATAGGTAGTTGGTCAATTATTTTTTTGCAAGAATCTTTATTATTTAATTCTTTTGGACATTTTGAATACTTCTAATTATAAGTCCCCCCCAATCAAGTTAGGAACTTGGATAAATACCCCGTCACGATTACGATTAAAGACAAAAATAGAAAATAAAAAAGAGAGACTATAAACAAGCACAAAAACGATACGATGAAATCCGTATTCACGGGAAAACAAAAACCATAAGAGGAATTTCATCAGTAAACATGTTAGCCAAAACAGATTTAGTTATTAGTTGTTGTAGAGCTGTTTGGTTATAGATAATTATGGATAACCATGGATAACCAATTATTTTTATGGTTTGGTAAATAACCAGTTTATAAAATAAGATGCGGTTTCATGTGAAATCGGTTTTTAAAAATAATCGATTTTTAAAATGTGGAGCAGTTTGGTTATGGATTGGTTTGGTTCTTTTGGACATTTTGAACACCCCTACTTGGGATGTATGGAATGAGATTACTCCTCTACAGTCTCTTATATCTCAACAGTAATTGCAGCTTAAATGCAAAGAAAGGTAGAGATAGTCCTTACTTTGATAAACACAAAAATAATGGGGATCCTGCGCTCTGTGTGCTCAAGATGAAAACTATTCAAATGGCCTTTCTTTTCCTTGTTGGTAACCAAAGCATTCTTCTCTTCCTCCCTTCTCCCTCTGTCTCGGACTCTTCTTACCAAACTAACTTTCCCTTTAGCATTTTCTTCTTGGAACCAAATTTCTCCTCCCTTCTCTTTTTCTCTTTCACCGATTTTCATTAGTTTCCCCTCTTTTATACATTACTTTCTATTTCATGGAAGCAAGGAATCGATGGTTTTTAATAGGGGTGTCAAAAGGAGTTAACACGACACGAATAGATTAACATGAACACGATACGAAATTTTATTCGTGTCAAAATCTTTAACACGAACACGACATGAGTTTTTTGAGAGTTGACACGATACGACAGGAATAACACGCAAAATAGGGGTCAAAACAGTAATTGACAATTTTTTTTTTAAAAAAGGGTCAAAATTAAAAAAATTTAAAAAAATAATAAAAAAAATATGAGTCTAACACGAAAACGACACAAATTTTTTACATCTCATTCTTTTCAACACGAACATGGCACGAATTTTTTTACGGGTCAACCCGAACACGAATTTTCGTGTCGTGTCGTGGGTCGACTCGCGTGTCATAACCTATATTGACACCCCTAGTCTCTAACACAGTCAATTGAGGATGCAGGGTATAGCCTTTTCAAGTTTCCCTTTTTACTAATTTTACTCTTCATATTTTCTTTTCATTTTCCTTGTTCATTTACTATACTTCTTCCTTCCCTCTTTCTAGAGCATTGACCAAAACTATACCAGACACAATCTTGAGTTTTCCTCGCATGTTATTTTGGCGTTAGCTAAAAAGTTGGCTAAAATTCCCAATTGTTATTTGTTGTGAAGTCTTTATCATGCTATGGGTTCTTAATTGGCTGTAGAAAGTTGGTTGTCATTCCAATTTTCTAATTCATTATGGAGCTTGAACTTAGCCGCTGGACAAGTTCTAACAACACATAGGAACGTCTCTTTTTTTATTTCACTTTTTTAATAAAAAAAAGAATATTTCATTTGAATAAAGTAAAACAACTAAATTATTTGGTTAGCAAGATAATTGGGCCGTCTCCTTTTTTATTATTATTATAAATAATAGGTGTTCACACCATTAGACATTATAATCTGTATATTGCAAACACAAGAAGAGGCTGCTTCCTTAATGTTGACGTCGCTCATGAAAACTAGAGAAGGCCTGGTTGAATACTGTTCCTGAAAACAGTTTTTTTAATTTTCAAAACAAAAATCCATTTGATAAGGATCGTTTTGTAAAAAAATTTTTAAAAATTATAACTGTTTTTCTGTTTTAAAAATCAAATTTAGATAACATTTCTAAGTTATTTTTCTTTTGTGTTTTGATTTTTAATTTTCAAAATAAAAAACACATAAAACATCTATTTTTATAATTATTCTACAAAACAATTTTAAGAACAAAAAAAATCAAACAGTTCCAAAAACAGTTTCATGTACTAACAAACCTAAACAAATTACAGGGTCGGCACCAAGGCCAACACAAAGAAACACCAGGTCTATGCTTGAATAAAATCTCTTCCCAGCTAGCAAATGAATATGCTATTCCTTTATCTTAGGACGAAACATGATTGAACTGTTTAAATGACTCAACTTGTCAGAGTTCACATTCAATAGTCCAGAGAGGCAGAGACATAAGAAGCAACAAGGTCCAAAATGGCATTTCATTCCAGAGAGAAGAAAGGTCAGCTCCTTTTACTCAAACAGAATGACTAGGAGATTACAGCAGGAAGGAATCCGCCTTCTTCAAGGATATTATTCGAGCAGCTATAATAAAGAAATGATTTAGCTCACATGAGCTGATGCTCAATCATTTCGGCATATTGCCTTCTTCCAAAAGCAGAGTGATGATAGACTTAATGATCTCGTTATTCAGAACGATCACATTCTGAAAGCAAACACAACCCGGGTTATTATTCTCATGTTGAAAGCAGTAATCATGTAGCAATGGTATTATTACTAAAACAAATAACATTGCGTCAACTAATGCATTCTCAGTTTGAGGGAACATGTAAATTTCTATTTATATAATTAAAGTACTATAAATGGTTCAAATTTCAAGGAATTGGAGGGTACAGTAGACACCGGGGAAACTCTGCATATTGCACATGTGATTATGAATAGAAGCTTGAAGTTCCCATTTAAACTGAAACAATATAAGCTCAAGGTAGACTTAGATGCATTGCAACCACCAAAGAGGATAAGAAACAGATTAACCAAACCATCCAGTCCAGGGTACAGATACTAAGCATGCGCGTCAAGCAATGAGAAAGCTTCAAGTTATGACAATTCAAAATATCAGTAGCTAGGGAATATAAGCTATAAATGGCACCTCCGGTTTTCTAATAAGCTCCTTCAGAATGGAATGCAGAGTTAATCGTAGCTCCTTGAACAAGACAGCTATTTGGGCAGGAGCAGTCAATTTCAACCATCCATCAATGGTGACCAGTCCAGTCTGTCACGTAAAGGAAAAAAAAATTAAGAAACAAACAAAAATTGCTCTTTAGAAAGAGCAGCGTTAAACAATTTAAGCAAAGATTCTTTTCCCCATCTAAAAAATACTTCATTGCTCAAAACATCCCTCGCTAATGTCTAAGTAGTGATCTAATCTAATGTAATATATGTAAGAGAAGCTAAAATGTCTTGTCTTGCCGCCATGTGGATTCCTTCCTACCATTTAGACTAAACTTTTTGACATGTGTATAAATGAATTTGATTTCTGCTCAAATGATAATCTGCAATGTGTCTCTCTTTTGGTTCACCAAATTTTCATAGCACCTTTATAGTCCTTCAATTGGGTTTTGTAGGGGAAGTGCTCGTCTATTACTTCAGCCACCCCTAATTTTCGTCATTTTCCTTCCTCCTTCGAAAACAATAGATATTTTGAAACGGAAAAGTACATCGTAGTAATAGGTATTGTTGTAAATATTTGTAATTATTGCATTTTCTTTGTTATCAAAATTAGCATTTCCCTTATTATAGGATTTCGGTTTATTTCCTCCGGCCCATTAGATCCATTAGTCTTCGTATATTGTAACCATTTGTACATGTTGGCTTGAGAAACAATAATATTCCAATTTTCTCCTTTGGTATTCATATTTATACAACAACATCATTTATTGCAAAAAGATTAACATAATATGTACCTGATGCTGAACATTAATTGATCCACCAAAGAGCAAAATAGAGTATGGAGAAATGACTGAAGTATCTCGTAGAAATACTTTATTTGTTTCAACCTGACAATTTCAGTAGTTAGCAATATATCTAAAAACCTAATTTCCACACGAATATCACAACCAGCACAATCATATGAATTATAATTAGCATATTTAAAAAAAAAATCACTTTCCATTAAACCCCAACTAGCGAGGTTAGGGATGAGGGCAATCTATGTACATAGCCTTACTGTTGAGATATATAAAACCATTAATGTAGCCTCACCCATCAGCTTAAGTTTTTGGGTTGAATTGGTTCTTTACATGGTATCGGAGCCTCGGTGTGCTGGGTTCGATCCTCATCGCCCCCCACTTTCTTTCTAGTTGAATTTCTTTATTCGCACAGGTAGGTGGGCCTGTGCATTGTCCACCGTTCAAGCCCAGTGGGCTCTCATGTGTGGGGGTGTGTTGAGATATATAAAACCTGATGAAATATAAGACTGAAATGTATTTTTTCATATATTGATTGACACCAAAAAGAATCTTTATATACAGATTACAAGGTAGTTAAGGAGTTGAAGTAATAAATAAAATACACAGTAACCGAAGAGGCATCACACTACTCAAAGGGACTAGTAGCTGGAAACAAGTAAAAAACTCTAGAATATTCTACACTCCCCCTCAAGTTGGGAGATATATTTTGATCATCCCCAACTTGCTAATTAAATCCTCAAAGATGGGTTTGTGTAATCCTTTGGTGAGAATGTCAGCTGTTCGCTCCTTGGTAGGTATATACGACAAACATACACTACCCTCTTCCAATTTTTCTTTGATAAAATGACGATCAACCTCCACATGTTTGGTTTTGTCATGATGTACAGAATTTTGAGCAATACTGACTGCAGCCTTATTATCACAATAGAGCCTCACAGGTAGAGAATAAGATATCTTTAATTCTTCAAGGAGTCTTCTTAACCAGATTCCTTCACAAATGCCATGGGCTAGCGCCCGAAATTCTACTTCTGCACTGCTTCTGGCAACAACAGTTTGTTTCTTACTTCTCCAGGTCACAAGATTTCCCCAGACATAGGTACAATATCCTGAAGTGGATCTTCGGTCCATAGCAGAGCCAACCCAATCCGCATCTGTATAGATTTCTATCATCCTCATGTGTCCCCTTTTAAAGAGCATTCCTCGACCAGGGGTGTTTTTGAGGTACTTGAGGATTCTATAAACTGCACTAAGGTGTTTTTCCTTAGGAGAATGCATGAATTGGCTAACCATGCTAACTGCAAATGCAATATCAGGCCGAGTGTGAGATAAGTAGATCAGTTTCCCTACCAACCTTTGGTATTGCTCCCAGTCAACATCTTTTCCATCTTCAATTCCCAATTTAATATTGGGTTCAACTGGAGTTTCTGCAGGCTTGCACCCAAGCATACCTGTTTCTTGTAGCAGGTCTAGGATATATTTCTTCTGAGATAAGAAAATTCCTGCCTTGCTACGAGCAACTTCCATTCCAAGGAAATGTTTGAGTGATCCAAGATCCTTCAGTTCAAACTGATTAGCTAAACCCTCCTTTAAAGACTTTATTTCCTCCCAGTCATCACCTGTGACAATTATGTCATCAACATAAACAATGAGGATAGCAATTTTGCCATTATCGGAGTGTTTAAAAAATAAAGTGGGATCAGTCTGAGCTTGGATAAATTCTCTTTCTTTAACAACACGAATAAACTTTTCAAACGACTCTCTAGGGGATTGTTTAAGTCCATAAAGAGACTTCTTCAACATGCATACTGAACCATCTCCCTCTTCAAAACCAGGTGGTGGATCCATGTAAACTTCCTCATGTAAGTCCCCATTTAAGAAAGCATTTTTTACGTCCAATTGTTGCAAGGGCCAATCAAGGTTGGCAGCAAGTGATAGTAGGACTCGGATAGAGTTAAGTTTGGCAACGGGAGCGAACGTCTCTTGATAGTCTATCCCGTAAGTCTGAGTAAATCTTTTGGCAACCAATCTGGCCTTATATTTGTTGATGTTGTTATCTGTATTAAATTTTATTGTGAACACCCATTTGCAACCTACAATTTTCTTTCCTCTGGGAAGTGCCACAAACTCCTAAGTTCCATTTTTTTTTTAAGTGCATCCATTTCTTCAAAGACAGCATCCCTCCATTTAGGGCCATTAAGTGCCTCTTGGATATTATTTGGTATTTTTGTACCATCTAATATAGTGTTGAAAGCACGAAAACCTGGAGATAACTTTTCATATGAAATGTGATGAGGAATAGGACGAGCAGTGGAAGATCTAGTACCTTTTCGAAGGGCAATAGGCATATCTAGGTCAGCTGTCCCAGTATTCTCAAGTGGATTGCTGGAACTAGGACTCGGGTCAGAATCCTGGCAGTCTAGAGGATCTTGAGGAAATTTACGCCTGCTGTAGAATTTTTCCCATTTACCTGGAGGATCTCCAGTCTCTGGTACAGTTGCTGTCCTTGTCTCCTGTACATTAACTCCCCCTGTTTCCAAAGGTAAAGGAACAACAGATGTTTCCAAGGGTAAAGGTAAGACAATAGAATTATTTGGAATCCAAGACTTGTCTTCATTTACACCGATAGACTCCCCCTGAAGAGAAGTCGAGGGAAAAAATGATTGTGTTTCATAAAAAGTAACATCCATAGAAACAAAGACCTTTCGAATAGAAGGTGAGTAGCACTTATAACCTTTTTGATTAGGAGGATATCCTATGAAGACACATCTAACAGACTTTGGATCAAGTTTGGACCTTTGATGTGGAGGAATATGAACAAAAACCACACAGCCAAACAACTTTGGAGGAAGGTAAGAGAGAGCCCGAAAAGAGGGAAAAAAACGGGTAAGGCAAGATATGGGAGAATGAAAATTCAGGACACGAGAGGGCATCCTATTGATGAGATATGAGGCAGTCAAGACAGCCTCCCACCACAGGTATTTAGGGACATGCATCGTAAACAAGAGGGCTCTAGCGACTTCAATGAGATGTCTATTTTTTCTTTTAGCCACCCCATTTTGTTGAGGGGTGTTAGGACAAGAACTTTGATGGATGATACCTTGCTTGGTTAGGTAATCACCAAGAACAGAATTAAAATATTCAGTACCGTTGTCAGTTCGCAGGATTTGGATAGAGGTCTGGAATTGAGTTTGTACCATAGCATGAAAATTTTTAAAAGTGGCTGCAGCTTCAGACTTATCCTTTAGAAGATATACCCAGCATACTCTAGAATGATCATCAATGAAGGTAATAAACCAACGAGTTCCAGATATTTTTTTTTCAAGAGCTGGGCCCCAAATATCACTATGAATCAATGTAAATGGAGACGAAACATGATAATCTCTGGGGGAATAAGAAACACGAGAGTGTTTTGCAAACTGACTATCATCACAAAAAAAAGAACTTGGTTTTTATTGATAAATAAGTTTGGAAACAACTTTTGAAGATAAAAGAAATTTGGGTGTCCTAAACGACGATGCCACAACAAAACATCATTACAATCGTCTGATAAACATAAAGAGTGGTTTGCAAAAAATCTCTTTTCATGAGAATCTTCTTCAAAATAGTAAAACCCTTCTTCCCCTCTAGCACTGCCAATCATCAGCCCCGAATCCTGTTCCTGAAAAAACACAGGTTTTGGCAGAGAATTTAGCAACACAATTCAATTCAGAGGAAAGTTTACTAATAGAGATAAAGTTACAAGTAAGAGAAGGGACATGAAGGACAGAATTCAGAGTAATATGTTCAGAGAGCTTAGTGGATCCCTTTCCTGCACTATTAGAGAAACTACCATCAGCAGTCTTTATTCGTGACTGGTGATAATAAGGGGTATAAGAACAAAACAAGGATGCATTACCTGTCATATGATCAGAAGCTCCTGAATCAAGAATCCAACGACTACTATGATCAACACGGAATGCCATACCTTGTTGAGCAACATGACTAGTTGCCTCAGCAGATTGAGACATCACTTTCTGAAATTGCTCATACTGAGCTTTAGGGATGAATACACCATCGGAATTTGGAGAGGCACGAGACTACTCACTCTTAACATCAGAAGAGATTTGATAAGCACGACTCTTGTTCAGCCCCTTTGTTTTTCAGTTTGGTGGTTTTCCATGAATTTCCCAACATTTTTCGCGAGTGTGACCACTCTTATTGCAATGAGAACACCATCGGTCAGAACGTTTTGCATCACTAGGGGGACGAGGAGTATGTTTTGCTACTAAGGCAGATACATCAGAGGATTTAGAGTTCTTGTCTCCCAACATTACCTTTCGGCGAAGTTCCTCCCGTCGTACTATAGAAAAAGCAGCTGCAATAGAAGGTAACGGGTTTTGTCCCAATATCCTTCCACGAACATCATCAAGATCACGATTAAGGCCAGCAAGAAAATCATAGAGACGTCTTTTCTCTAAGTAGCTTTTAAACCTTGCATTAGCTTCTAAACCTTGAAGATCTGCTACATCATAAAGATCCAACTCCTGCCACAGAGTTTTTAAAGCAAGAAAGTATTCAGTAACAGACATCCCCTCTTGATGTAACTCTCTTACCTTGGTGTTGAGTTCAAAAGCCTGAGAAGCATTGCCCACGAAGAACAGGGAAGAGGAGAGACACCGGAAACATTACCGAATGATTTTTCAGAATGCTTATTCTCAGCCTCAATATTTTCAACTTCCATCGTTCAAAAAAGGAAGAAGAGGAACAGGTCACGAAGAGGAACCAATTGAACCCAGCAAGAAGAGTGCTCCAACCGTGATTTAAACCCCCAAAACAGGAAGAGGAAGGTCAGGCGAGTCGATCTGTGGAAGCCGCGTGACAAACGGAGGCCGGCAGGGCGGCGAGTGGCTTACACGCGCTGGAGAGGCTGTTCTGCTGTGGCGGCGCGGGTCTGACTTTCCGGCGACGGGGCTGACGTGGGTCAACTCAGAAATGGCTTCTGAGTCCAATGATGGCCTTGGTCTCGTGATTGGAGGGGTCCAGATATGGTTTCTGAGTTATTTTAAGGAACAGTGAAAATGGAAAACGAAAAAAAACGTAAAAAGAAC